TTTTTTTTCTGAGTTAGATGGGCTTAGAATTCCTTACAGTTGGGCTAGAAGGCTTTCCCTCATTTCCTCTGTCCCAAAGATGCATCTTTATAGCCACCTTAAGATTGACCAAAGGAGTAAAAATAATTTATTAAACCACCTCTCTCTCTCTCTGGGCTTATTTGGATTTCTATCGTACCTAAAGCAGAGGCAGAATGTAGATGCAACAGAGCAACGTTTTTGCAGGTTCAACACTTGGTGAAATGGCATCCAGCACCCCAATGCACACTCGTAGACCTTTCTTGAAGGAACTGAACTCTCCCAAGTTTCATAGGTCTATTGGGTTGCCCCAGGTTTTTAGATTACACACACTCTTTGCTAGTTTTGTTTACCAGGCCATGCTTCTCATATCAATGCATAATATGGGTTAGCAAGCGTGTATTCTATACCTGAATGTCACATTTAGTACAGTGGGGTCTCTACTTAAGAACTTAATCCGTATTGGAAGGTGGTTCTCAAATTGAAAAGTTCTTATGTTGAATCTGCATTTCCCATAGGAATGCATTGAAAACCATTTAATCCGTATCTGCTCTTTTCCGTCCATAGAAACTACAGTGGAACCTCTACTTAAGAACTTAATCCGTTTTGGAATGGTGTTCTTAAGTTGAAACGTTCTTAAGTTGAAGCAAAATTTCCCATAGGAATGGACTGAAAACCAATTAATCCGTTCTGGCTGTTTTTTTGTTATGTAGAGGTGCGTTCGTACATTGAAGCATTAGTTCCCATAGGAACTAATGCAAAGCTGGCTAATACGTACTCTACCACTAGGGGGAGAATTTTTTTTTTAACCAAAGATGACCTAAGGTTAAAAAAAGAGCAGGAAAGGGTTTTTTTCCTGTTCTTATCTTGGATTTCTGTTCTCAAGTAGAAGCAAAATTTAGCAAATGGAGCTGTTCTTAAGTTGGATTATTCTTAAGTAGGGACGTTCTTAAGTAGAGACCCCACTGTAACATGGTTTGAAATGCATGAATTCTTAGGGAGTTTTGGTGGTCAGTTTGACTTTGGATTAACTCCTCAGAGCCTCATCAAATTCTCATTACTGGTATTAGAGACTGCTTGTTTTTACACTGAATTTGCAATGTGTCTTCACTAAACATTTCAGCCACTATTTTAACACAACTTGCTCAGTATTCTTTGGTCCTTGTTTGAAGCACATAATGCCATGGGCCACCGAATGATCTGAGATGCTTGTGTAGTCTTTGCGAAAGGTTCCTGCTGAGGAAATACAGAAGTCCCTTTTCACCAACAGGAAAATTCAATGATTCTAGAGACCTGTCTGAAATTTGGGTGTAGTGCCATCAAGCAAATCCAGAACTTGTGAAAAAAAAATCTGTAAAACCAGTTGTAGAAGTCTCATTCTTTTATAAAACATGTTGTAGAGTCTGTCTTCATCAATGCTGCCAAAATGGTGTCAAAATTATGGGCAATAATCTGGTTTGCTGAAGATATGAAGCTATCAGATCTCTCTCTATCCTCCTCCCCCTTCAATCCGGTTGTCTTATAAAGACATTGAGTATTGTATAATCCTGTGTTATATAAAAATTATAGATAATGTTTATGCTACTATACTTGTACAGAAACCTTAGAATATATAATTGTGTTGTACAGAACAATGTCTCCAGTGTTCGAACATCACAAAGATATGATACAATTTGGCCTCCTTTGAAAAGGCTTTTAAGATGTATGTTTCTATAGGAATATATAAATATAAATACAGTTATATATAATATATTGAAAAGATCTTATTAATGGCTGTTCAATTCCAATGCAAAACAAAACAAACAAACAAAAATACCCCTATATCTGTATAGCTGGATGTCTAAAATCTTTGTCAAAGTCTCTTTATTCCCCCACACACACCTGTTTTCTTTCGTTTTGTTAACAAGCTGTCCCTATGAATCGCTTTTCATAACATCCTGAATGGATATTGCCTCTTACTGTTTTAAGCTTTCAACCCAGCCTGATTACCTGTGATGTATGGGAAACTGTAGATATATTACTCTGAGAACAGGCAGACCATAAAACCTTCCTTTTACAGGTTCCAGTCAAGGTGTAATGTTGCTGCCCATGAGCCGGCACATCTATGCTTGAAAGAATTACAGTTAGGACAGGCTTTGTATGGATGCATTGTCCAATGTCCATGTACAAGGTGCAATCCAGAAGATACCAACCACATCAAGACTAGAAATATGGGTGACATCTACCCAACACAATGGTCTGTTTTTTTCCCTTGCAAATGAGACCGTGTACCATCATCCTCCTGTTGTAAAAATGTTCAGGTCTGAGCCTTGGAACAGTCAATGTGGCTATGACCCACCTGCAGTTTTTCATGCAACATCTCACTGCCCTCCACTATCTCTGGATTGCAAAGTGCCCAACCACATCTTTTGTGCCATTTCTGCCTGCGGCTGTAGCACTTGGTGCCTCCAAGGGTCAGCCCATTACTTAAGAGAAGAGTGACATCTGTCTCCCTTATTTTCATTAAGTCCAATTTCATACTCAATCCGTTGTGTTGTGTTTAACAAATGGCCTTCCGATCCAGTTCAGACCTCTTTATGGGGTTGGGTTGAGGCAACACATAGTGGGATAATTTGTGGTAGGCTTCAAAAAAAAGGGCTTTGATTTTTTTTTAAAAAAATATTAATTTTGGAATTTCAATCACGTCTAGAAAGATGGAAGGAACTGGTCCCTCATTTAACAGAGACTGTGAATGTAAAGCTTAGAATGCCAGAGGTTAGCACTTATTTATTACTGTGCTGATGGTGATGATGGTGATGATGACAAACTTTAAATGATGGATGACTGGATGATAATAATGATGAAGATACTAATAATTTTAATGTTACTAATGACCAGTCATCAGTGCCAATATAACTCTACTATTTTTATACATATGCTTTATGGTGACAGTTCATGTGGCTTGTGTATGGTGTAAAAGAAATGTCAATAAAGCCGTTTGCTTCCTTTAGTCTGGCTTTTCTTGATTT